GTAGTAGTAGTTGTTGTTGTTGTTGTTCAATTTTAGTAGGAATAATAGAAAGGTTGCCCACCTAAAACAGCGCCAATAATCACTTCGGGCACCTCAACGTTCTTGGTATCCTTGGCACCCAGATCACCCGGAGTGGGGCTCTTGCTCAGGCCGCCTATCGAGGCGGCGGCGCCCAGCTGCGCACTAGTCACCGTACCGGTGGCGCCGGTCAGTCCAAAGCTGTTGTTGTTCAGCGAAACGGGCGTGGCGGCGGGCGCGGTGGCCGAGCCCAGATGGCGGAATGAATCGAATTGCACCTCCAGTTGCGACTGCGTGGGCCGATTGGCCGCCGCAGCAGCTGCCGCAGCGGCAGCGTACTCAAAGTTCACCTGCCCAACAGCGCCGAAGACATTGCTGGCCGTGGCCGCTGACGCTGCGGCGGCTGTCTGCTGCTCCAGCGTCGTCACGCCCAGGTAGTTGGCCAGCGTCGGATGCGCCCCGTTGGTGTGCGGCACGCCCACGCCCATGCCCAGCACGCCGTACTTGGCCAGCACCCCGAGGGCGGCGCAGACTTCAGTTGTGGCGGTCTCCGAGTATCCAGCACCGCGCATGGCAACCTGCGAGTGACGGAATGGCAAGAGGGTCAGATGGATGGGTGGATGGGTGGATGGGCGATTAGAGCTACTCAGACTACGCACCTTGATGTGCTCCAACAGCTGTGTGGCGAACGCCAGGTTGGGCGTCGGATTGGGGGCGCTCAAGTTGAGGGACAAGTTGATGCCCGCATTGCTGACCAGGAGGCTGGCCGCAGTGCCGGCGCCGCCAATGGCCGTGCCCAGCGTGGAGTTCAGCGAGGCGGTGCTTGAGTTGATGGCATTCTGATTGGTGGCATAGGGCGAGCCGGTCGGATTGAAGTTGGCAACGGGTCCGTTCACATCTGCATAGGAGACGTTCAGACATGTGCCCGACTGAGGATCCTCCACGATCTTCGAGAGTATCATCTTGCAGGCGTTCTTGTTGTTTTCCTTGTCGCCGATGATGGTGATGCAGCGCTCCTGCAGCGACACATCCTTTGGTTTCTGCGATATCTGCACATAGGAACCGCTCTCCTCCTTGATCTGCTTGATGAACGCGCCGCCCTTGCCGATGATCATGCCAGCAGTCGAGTTGGGCACCAATATTTTCACCTGCTTGTCGCGCTCCTGGGCCTGCTTCGACTCGGCATCGATGATCTTCGTGGTCAAGTCGGGCTTCTCCCGTATTTTGTCCATTATGAAGTCGACCACGGTCATGATGCCCTCCACGGAGCCGGTGATGAGGCAGACTCGCTCAGTAGTACCTGACGGAAAATGGAAAATGGGAAACCCGTCATATTCGACATTCCATTCGGATATGCAGCTACCCAATGCTCACCTGGATAGAAGTCGTGCGATTTGGACATCTTGACTCTAGCACCCGTGTCCTTCTGCAAGGAGGCAATCGTCTCGCCCCCTTTGCCAATGATGGCGCCGGAGGCCACCGCGGGCACCAGGATTTTCATGTGAAATGTGGTATCGCCTGCAAGTTGCGAAAATACAAACAGATCACAGTGCGACCATGGATTAGTGATTACAATTGCTTTAGCTCTAAGTAACTTTTACTGCAGTTGGGATTGCCCAGTTTCCCAGTTGCCCAGTTGACCAGTTGATCTTGGCGCACATCTGGTAGCTGTTTAGCAGGTTAAAAATTCAAAATAATAACAGCATTCGGTTGTCGTCCGCGCGCAGCTGGACGTTGTTTGATATCGGAGTTTGGTTATGATGGGGGATAATGGCTTTTGGGGGTAGCTGGTGGAGGACATGCATTCGACTGTTTACTGTACCGTGTGTTTACTGTGTTGACTGATGTGGTCAATGCTAATGCCAATGCTAATGCCAATGCCAATGTTTATGGTAATGCTGTGGAGTAGTCGGTTTCGGCAAGCCATGAGAGGATGAGGATGCAACACACACAATATGCTGGCGAGACACGAAAAGCTCTAGCCCCCTAAGCTCCCCTCGCCCACCCGAATGTGCCCCCCACTAGCAAATGGCCTTAAGCGCTTTGGACTCGAATGTCGGTCAACTGGTCAGGCGGTCAGATTTGGTTAGCTGGTCGGTCAGTGATCTGCGGTCAAGAGGAGTCAGCGGTTAATGGGTTGACCCAGCGTAATGTTTGCCCAATTAAAATCAGTTTGCGTTTGTCAGCTAGCAAGTTTAGCTCAACTGGGTATTACAGAAACGGAGATAGATAGATAAAGAGAGAGATAGAAAGAGATACAAAAAGACAAAACTGCGTTTTTCTCTCGGATATCTTTGGACACTTTTCGCTGCGTTTCGCATAACAAAGATGAATGTTAATGGTATTTAATGAAAGTATGACAAAGCTTACCATGATGATTATGATTATTGTTATTATTTTCAATTTCAACCTCAATTCCAGAACAAACTGACTCACCTAAAATGAAAGAGAGATGGAAATAAACAAGCATTGCATTAGTTACATTCGTCGATTCACTTTAATTATATAAGTATTAGACAAAGGCTAAGATATGCAGCGAGCTGACGTCAGTCAAAGTATGTATGTATGTATGTATGTGTGTCTGTGTGTCTGTGTGTGTGTGTGTGTGTGTGTGTGAGTACAGTAGAGAGTTGACCGCAGCCACATTGCAATCTCATTTCGCTGGCATTCAATATAGCCAGTGCAATCTGTGGCGCACGGGCGAGTAAACAAATTTCAATTAATAAAATGTGTCAAGCGGAGATGCTCTATTACACAAAACAATCGCTCATAGCGTGGCAAATAAAAAACAAGGCTATCAAAATCAGAAAAAGAAAACAGGGCAGCACATTGAGCGGCAACGTCGTGCAGCTGGTGCACCTGACTATTTCGCCTCGTCCGTCCACACGCGCCAAGACGCCCCAACCGAGAGTTGAGCGACTTGACGGCTGGGTTTAATTTTAGCCGATTCGCTTGGCAGGCCGCGCCCCGCCCCTGCTAGTGCCCCTACCCCTACCCCTGTGCCTGTCGCATTCAGAATTAAAATCTGTGTCGTCATCTTGTTGCCACTTGAAGCCAAGTGTCCTTCAAAACAATTTCTCTAATTAGATACAAGCGCTGAAATGAGGCGCACATCTGTCACCGAGTGCCAGAAACTAGAACTCTGGGGCTCTTGGCTCTTGGCTCTTGGCTCAGGCCACAAATCATGAACGAGCCCAAGCCGCCCCACACACTCACACTCACACACACACACACTTACACACACCTATGTGTGTCAGGTCGTCCCGATGTCTATCAGCTGACCCAGCAGCAAAGGCAAACGCAGCCACCACAAAGAAATGCAGCCGAACCACGCTGCGTATGCTTGATGTGAACTATTGTCGAGTTCATATTAAGTATACGCAGCGTGGTTATACAATGTTATATATATAATAGAGAGAGAGAGAGAGGGAGATGTTATGTGATGCATGTGTGTGTGTGTGTATGCTTGATGCTTGATTATTATTTCATTATTAAGTTTCCTTTTTTTTTTCAAGATATTTAAATCTTTTGCTAGTTTCAGTTGATTTGCATTGTTGATTTTCATTTTTTTTTTTTTTTGTTTTACTTTTTTTTATGACTCGACGGCAGCGCAGATGTGTTGAGATGGAGACATGGCGTTTGACTGATTGATTGGTTGATCGACTGATTGATTGATGCTATTGTAGTTGTACTTCGGTTGCTCACCGCTTTGTTCGCATAATTGTGAGCGAAATACAGATGCAGAGGGCGAAAGAGCAAGTGTTCTTATTATTATTATTATTTTTTTTTTTTTTTGTGAATTTGTAGATGGATGTGTGTAATATTTAGAAGAAGTCGTGCGCATCATTTAGTTTGTAGTTTCTGAATTTGATAGCGTGTTTTCATCAAACTCACCGTAGCACCAACAGGAGGCAGTCTTATAGCTGGATGTTGCTGCCGTTGCTGTTGCAGTTGCAGTGGAAGTTGCTGCTGCTGCTGTTGCATTTGCTGTTGCAGCTCCCGTTGTCTCATGTTTACTAAGTTGTTGTTGTTGCTGCTGCTGCTGCTGCTGCTGCTGCTGCTGCTGCTG